AAGGGACAAAAAAAAAAAAAAAAAAAAAAAAAAAAAATTACATATTATTGCACACATTTTTCATAATAACGTTTTTTTGTTATATGTTCTATTTCCATTCTGTTAATTTATTATAAAAATAATTAAGGCATACTTGAATATATATATTTAAAATATAGATTTTTTATAGAAATTTTTGTAACAAAATTTTTTGGCAGATTAAAAATAGTAAATGTTTACAATGAATATTAAATTAAAAATAAAAAATAATTTAAACAAAGCAATGAATATGAAAAAAAGTGTGTTTTTCCATTTATTATCTCTATTTTATAAATATATATATATGTATTCCTTATTTTTTTATTGTTTAATATAGAGGAATAAAAAAGAATGTGGCTTAAAATATTTGAGAGTCTTTCATTTTAAAAATAAATAAGCACTATCTTTCATTTTATGAGTTAAGTCATTGAAATAATAGCTTAAATTTTTATATGAATATTTGTTAATATAAAAGATAAACTAATTGATATTCAAGACTTTATTTCATTAAAATAAATTGTGTAAAATTATAACATCATAAAAATAATGTAAAAATAATTATTTCTAAGTTCATGAATAAAAATGAAAACAAGAGGTTCTATGCAAATATATTCCTTTTCTTGCTTATGACGAAGTTTTATGTTATATTTTAAATTATAATTTAATTATGAATGTCATTTTTAATTTTAAAAAAAAGGATGCTCTTTTTTAATTATAAACATAATTTTGCTTTTTCCCTATATATAGAATATGAAAAAAAATTATGAACAGGGAAAAAAAAAAAAAAAAAAAAAAAACAGTATAAATACTGGCTTTTTTACTATATGCTTTTTTTTCAATATATATCACTAATAAAAATGTATAAAAATCCGTTATACAATTGTAAAAAGAGTTTTAGAGAAGCCTTTATGTATATTTTTTTTTTTTTTATACTTTTAATTTTCTTTGTTTTTTCTCTTTTAATTTTATGGATTGACCTAGAAAAAAGAAAAATAAAATAAAAAAAAGTTATTAAACTACTACTAAAAATAAATTCACTATTGATTTTTCATAGATCAGAAAGATTATTAAAACAAGCAGAAAAAAAATAGAGAACTTTAGAAAAATGAAAATGTTTTAATAGCAATAATATATAAAAATATTAACGAACCTGATAACTTACTAATTAAAGAATTTCAATTGTATATATAAGAAAAGTGAAAATAAATATTAAGTAATTTTTAAATATATTGAAATTTTTATTTCTTAAAAGTACATATATTTTCATAATCCTTCTGAGGTTCACAATGGGAAATACCTTAGGAATAGATTGTTCTTTTAATTATGTTCACGTAACAAATATTTTAATTAATGATAGAAATAAAAAAAAAACTTTCATTGAAATAAAAAATAAATGTAATACATGTTCTCATAACAGAAATGTTTTAGAATATGATAATACAAAAGACCTATATAGTTTAAGTAATTCATATAAATTAGAGTTAAAGAAAAATGAGGATGATATTGAGAAAAAATATTTTAGTTTAGGCACAAATATCATAAATAGAGACCATTCAGAGAATCAAATAAAAGAAAGTTTATATGTAATAGAAGATAATAAAGAAATATTTAATGAGACTTTGGAAAATAATGGGGAAAGTGATGATACAAAATATTTTTCTGAAGAAATAAGAAAAAAAAAGGAAAAAGAAAGCGTTATATATAAAAATAGAAGTGATAATAAAATAATGGAAAACTACATAAATAATAAAGAAAAAATATCAAATGAAAATAGTAGTAACTTTTTAAAAGAAATAGAAAGAAAAAAAGAATCCCACAACAGCACAAATAATGAATTCTGTAAGGATTATGTGATAATGCAAAAAGATATTTTCGAATATATTATGGATGTACAAAATATTATTGAAGATACTGTTCAACTTATTATATTAAAAAGGGAAATAGAAAAAAGTCAAAGTAGTCAATTTTCATTAAGGGAACTTTCTGAACATTTCAAAGAAAATGAAGATTTATACAAAAAATTTCATATATATAAAAATTTTATAAAAAATAATATGAGTTCTGAATTAGAAAATGATGAAAAAAATGAGAATAATGATGAAATAGCTCAAATTTATTTTTGGACACTAAAGATAAAAAGAATTGATCAGGCCATTTTAAAGTATTCGAAATGTATAAAAAATATATTAATAAATATAACAGGGAAAAATAGTAATTATGTAAAGAAGAAATTTATGGAACTAAAAAAAATGAATAATATATATTATCATAAAGAAATAAAATGTATAAATAGTTCAATCTGTTTTTTAAAACATTTTTACCCTAAAGGTTTATATCATTTTATAAGTTCTCGAACAAGTAATGTGGAAAATGCAAGTGTTAGTAGTCAAGAAGAAATTATGCTAAAGAAACATTTTTTGAATAAAAAAGAAGTTACTGAAATATCTCCTTATATAATAGTCAATATAAAACGAGGAATAACTTACCACTTAATTAATGAAGAAAATTTAATTAAGAGAATTGGTGGTTGTTTAATTGGATGTAAAAGTATTATAGGTTTATTTTTTTTAATAACAAAAAAATTATGTTCTCTAGAAATGATATGTAAATTAGCTCAAAATGGAGTAAGTAAAACATTTGACATGACTGTTGAAGATATTTATGGATCCCCATATAGTGCGGTTGGTTTACGTGGAGATATAATAGCATCCTTTTTTGGAAAAGCGCAAAATATAAATTACATTAATAATTCTATTGATAGTTCTAGGAAAGAAATTTATTCAAATTTAAAAGAAGATATATTAGATAACCAGGAACATGTTTCAAGTTTTGAATATTTAAGTTTTGAAAGTAGTGAAAGTGATGAAAATGATGATAATTGGTATTCTCATATTTTTTCAAAAAGTAAAAATAATTATTCTACTTATATTAATAGCAGAAAAAATATGCTTAAAGAAAATCTTTTTAATTTTCACAGTGATTCTCTCTGTAATTATACTAGCGTTTCTATAAAGGAAAAAAAACTTTTACAAAAAGAAAAGAAAAGAAATTATATGAAAAACATATATGAAGACAATTATTTAATAAAGGAAACTGCTGATAATCAAAAAAGTAGTGATTTTAAAAATAATATTTATAAATATGAAAGTGACGATGATAATTATAAAAAAGAGATAAAAAATTATAGAGGAAGAAATTCAGATAATAATATAATAATGAGAAATGCAATAGAAAAAAATAATAAAGAGAATTTACACATTTTTGTTAATAAAAAAAAAGAAAATATATTTCTTAAGAAAAGTTCAAGTGATTCTAACTTAAATGTAAAAAAGGGCAATGACATAAACAAAAATACATCCAAATTTATGTATAAAAATAAAAACAAAAAGTTAAATAATTTTTTAAAAATTGATTCTGAAAAAATAAAAAATCATTATGATGAAGAAATTACAAATATTACAAAATTCAATACTAATGAATGTGATATAGCAAAATCTTTATTATCAATGGTTATATTTACTATAGTACATCTATCATATTTTCATAGTCATATGTGCAATGTTAAAAGTATAATATTTTCTGGTTTACTTTTAGATAATAGTGTTTGCTTATCACTTGTAAAAATTATTATAAATTTTATGTCTCATAATACACAAAAATTATATTTTTCTAAATTTTCTAAACACCTTGGTAGTTTAGGTTCAGCACTTCATTTAATTGATTTGGACAATTTGTTCTTAAAGTGTAAATAATTTTATTTTTTTTTAAAATTCAAGTGTTTTTTTTTTTTTTTTTTTCTTTTTCTTGATAAACAGAACTTTTCCTTTTATATATTTTAAAATTATTCTTTTAGCTACTATTTTTCATTTTATATGCATAAAAAGAAATAATTATAATTTTTACAAAATTTTACATAAAATAAATTACAAGATATTTCAAAATATTATTTACATCTACCATTCCACTTTTAGTTTAAATATAAATATTCAAAATTATATTTTATAATTTTCTATATATGAAATAAATGTAATTTTATATGAGTTAAAATATTTGCTCTTGCTTCTTATTATGAGCATTTTTATTTATATATATACGAAATCAATAGTTGTTACAACTTTTTGAATGATTTAATCATAATTTTATCTAGTTTATATTTTCTTATTTTGTTTATTTAATAATATTTTTTTCTCCCTTTATAAAAAATTACAGATATTAAAGATAAAAAATAAAAAAAAATGACATTAATTAAATCTTTTATTTTACCTATATTCCTTGTGCAAAATCTTTTTATTTTTTTTTTTTTTTTGTTTTTTCAAAATTTTATACTACAATAATACAGTTCATATAATTTTATTATTTTCTTTTTTTTATAATTATAAAAAAAAAAAAAAAAAAAGATTTAATTTAAATATTTTTTATTATTAGTAATTAAAAATTATTTAAAATATATTCCCAATTTTTTTTTTTAAAAATAATTATTCTGTTGTTCTTGTATTACGTATTTTTTTGAACAGAAATTTCGATTATGTAAAAAAAAAAATAATATAAAAATATTAAAAAGTTGTAATAAATATTTTACATATTAATAATTTCAAACCCTAAAAATAAAAATGTATATTTTTGTAAATAAATAAAACAGTTATTTATGTAAAAAGAAAATAAAAAAAATTCAATTCAAAAAATATAAAAAGAAATAGAAAAAAAAAAAAAAAAAATGCATAAACAACGAAGCATAAACAAGGCTGATATATGTGAAGAGGTTTACCCTACTCTTCATAAATATAGGAAAGGAAATTCTCAAGTAGGTACATTTTTAAAAAAAGAAGATAATTCTGCTTTAAAAAATAGTCCACAAATTTATAATGATTCAAAAAAAAAAAAATCTCCATCATCTAACAAATCAAAAAAACTACATAAAAAATATGAAAATATATCAAAAATCAAAATGGAGAATTTTTTAAAATGTCCTATGGCTTATCATACCAATTTTTTGGGTACAATACTTTTTGTAATTGGAAGTGTTTTTTTTCTTTTTTCTAATTTGTATATATATGGATGTTTAATTTTTGCATTCGCATGTGTGTTATGTTTTTATAGCAATTTAGTAGGTGCTACTAATATTAAATTAAAAAGGAAAAATGAATTTTATGGTTTTATATGTTATATAATTGGATGTCTAATTTTTATTATTGGGTCTATTTATAGTTGTTTTAAAGATGATTATTATGCTGTGGGAAGTTTTATTATAGGTAGCCTATTTTTTTTAATTGGAGCATTTCTTTTTTTCTTTACAATAAATCTTAAGAAAATTAAATGTGTTAATTATAAAATTTTAATTGTCTTTATTTCAAATTTTATTGGTGGAGTTTTGTTTACTGTTGGTAGCATTTTTTTTCTTTACTCTAATTTATATATTGAAGCTTGTTATTGTTTTATAATAGGTAGTGTTTTATTTACGTTGGCTACATGGTTTGATTATATTATTTACATTAATGATACATTTTAACTAAAATTTCTGACGTTAATATATTTTGAATTTGTTAGTTTCCTTTTAAAAATCATTATTATTATAAAAATTTTTTTCTTATTTTTTTTTAACTTATTTTATAATTATTATTTTTAATAGTGTATGATAAATTCATATATATTAGTATTTTTTTTAAAATAGCCAATTAAAATTATGTTTTAATCATTTTGTACATTTATTTTTTAAAAACTAATTAAAAAAAAAAAAAAAAAAAAAAAACTATTTTTATACTTTTTTTTAAACTTTAAAATTTCACCTTGTAAAACTTTGTCTTCCTTTTCTTCATTTTATATTGAAAAGTTCTTTTAGATTCATTCTATAATATCTCAACATAACTTTTAACCATAAACCCTCTTATAATTTTTTTTTTTATTGTTTATATAGAAGTGTATATATATTTTTTTTTTTAAATTTTCATTGTAATAATTTAAATAAACCTTAAAAATTATATAATACTACAGTTTACTTAATATTACACTTCTAATTTTTTTTTTTATCTCTTCAATGATGTTATTAAATATCTATAGAAAAACTTTAATTTTTTATTTAAAAAAAAAAAATAAAAGGATGAATTTAAATAAATATTTTATTATTTAAATTATTTACTCTTTAAAAAAAAAAAAATTAATATGAAAATTATTACTCCTTTTATGTTTTCATAAAATTTTGTATAAAAAGTTTAAAAAAAAAAAAATGATGATATTAATTAAAAAATTCAGAAAAAAGTGGGAGAGTTATAGAAATTTACATAATGACATATTGATAAATAGTTAAAGAAAAAAATTAGTCAAACTTTAAGATATGAGTTTATATGAAGATCAAAAAAAAAAAAAAAAAATAAAATAAAAAATAAAAAAAATATATATATATAAATATAAAAAAATTAAGAATAAACAAAAATTCTAAAAAAGAGAATAAGAAATTTTATTAATACATTTTTTTTTTTTTTTAAACTAATTGTTATGAAAAATTGAATTACACATATATAATTTTAAAAATAGCTATTTATCATATTTGTGATATAGATAAATAAACACTAGTAATAATGAATAAAACACAATAGTTGTATATAATTATTTGTTTTATTTATTTTTTTTATTTTTATTTTCATTTATTTTGGAAGAATGCTTTTGCTTATAAATAGGATTCAAAAAAATTTAAAAATAAGAAAATTTAAATTAATATATTATAATAATTTTAGTTCTTGTAATTATAGTGATATATATAATAAATATGAGAATTTTTTGAATATAGGAAATAAAAAACCGGATGAAATAATAAATTTATTAAATATTATAAATAAAGAAAAAAGGTGTGATACTGAATTAATTAAAAATATAACAAGTCATATATATGATTTCAGCGATGATTTTTTCTGCCCACAATTAATAAAAGTATTAGAAAATTATGTAAAATTAAAATATTCTGATGAAACATTACTTGGTATTCTCTGTAGTAGAATTGATGATATAGTAAGTTTAAAATCATGTTTAAGAGCAAAAATTATGATAAATATTTATAAGCAGCTAAATTTCCATCATCCATTGGTAAAAAATCCATTATTAAATTTAATCAATGAAAATATTTGTCATTATAAAAGTGAACTAGTTAGTATTATAAAAAATATATCTTATTTGCATATAGATTCATTTACATCTAATAATCTTATTAATCGTATAATAGTAAATTATGACTATTATGATAAAGATATTTTTACCATATTTGAATCATTCAGTAGATTGGATGAATATAATGAAGCTTTTGTTGATTTAATATTAAAAAAAATTAAAAAATTAGAAGAAAATGATATATGTTGTAATTTTAAAAACTTTCTAAAATTTTTAAGTGGATATAAAAGATTAGGTTTAACTAGTAATACTTATTTGCATTCACAATTTGAACATAAAATAAATAACATTAAATTATTATCTCCAAATAACATTTCTTATGCGTTGTTATTAATGCTTTCAACAAAATTCCAAAATGAATCATTATTTGAATTATTATTAATAAATATAGAAAATTATGTAAATAATAACAATTTAGAAATTAGTGAAAAAAAAAGTCTTTATTTCTATGATTTTTCAGACAATTTTTTTGAAAGAAAAAATAAAAAAGAAAATTATTTTATTGAACAAAGAGGAAATAATAAAAAAAGAAATACTGAAAACAACAATGATGAATTAATTCATCATAATAATTATGAGAGTATTTGTAATAAATATATTTTTAAATATTTACCATTTCATTTACTTTTACTAGTTTTATTAAATTATGATAACAAAAATATAATACTTCATTTATTAAATATATGCATTAATGAATATATTTTTTTTTATGATGTATCTAATTTGATTAAATTATTATATTCATACACACTTTTAACAGTAAAAAATCAAGTAGAAAAAAATGAAGAAATTCAAAAAAATATAATAATAATATTTTCTGCTCTTCAAAATATATATAAAAGTGCTACTATAAGTGACTATAAAATTTTATATGACTGCTTTTTATATCATCAAAAAATTATTGAGAAAAATAGTAAATTAAAAAGCATGTATGATGATCTTTTATATAATGAATGTTTTTCAATTTTGCCATCATCATACTCCAATTTAAAATTCGATGAAATGGAAATCATTAAATGCGGTAGCTCATCATATTTGAAAGATAAAGATGGTACAATTTCTATTTATTTAAACAAAAATGATTTTTTTTCTTCAAATGATTATAAATATGATAATTTATTATTAAATGTTAAATTTAAAATTGAACTCTTGAAAAATTGTAATATTAACAATGTTAAAATAATTTATAAGGAAAATATCTTAAAATAGTAAAGTTTTTTTTAGTTAATAAAACAAAAAGGAACCAAATTTTGAACATTTATTAAAACGTATATATGTATATATATATATTAATAACATTAAAAAAATTAGAATATTTCAAAATTTTTTTTTTTTGAATATTTAAAAACTTTAAAAAAAATAGGTAAAAAAATATATAAAAACTTAAATTTATGTGATAGTTATTTTAAATGAATTTTATAAGGATTATTATTTTTAATTTTATATATATCTTATACTTCAAGCTTATTAAATTTAAGTAGTAAAAATTATAATTATGTTTTTCTTTATTAGAAGATAAATATTTTCATTATAATATTAATTTTAAATCAAATATTTATGTAAGTTTAAAAATAAAATAGTTTAATTCTTTTAAATTTATATTTGTTTAATATATTTACAGTAGTAATAATTTTAACTACACATTTACTAAAATATGTAATATATATAGTTACCATTTTAAAAATAAAAATATGAGAATTATAATTATTCAAAATTTCTAATTATGCTAATTACTAAAAAAATAACTCATTGGTAGTTATGAACTGTAACTCTATATTTTTTTTTGGAAAGAATTATATTTACAATAGACATAATATAACAAAGTTAATTCTTTTTATAAATTTTTTTACTTTCATCTTCATAAATACAAATTTAAAAAAGAATTTTTTTTTTTTTTTTTATTAATTCTGAATTTACAGAAACATTGTAATATGTATAGAAAAATATGTACAATGAAAATCATTTTAACAATATATACTTATTAAAAATTTATTTCTAAATAGTTAATTAAAATTATCGTTTTATTTTAATATTTATATAAATATAGATACAAACATTTTAATACACATAATCTTTGGAAGTTTTTAAAAGTATAATACACATATTTCCTTTTCTTTTAAGAAATGTAAAAATTTACAATTTTATTAATATAAATTCTTATTATTATAAAAAAGTATTTTATAATCTATGTAAATGTATTTCTATTTATGTATTTTTTTTTTTCTAATAAAACACAAACGATAGTTATATAAGTTAAGCAAAAATATATAAACTATGTAAAAATATATATAACCATTTATTTATTTAAAAATATTTTTTTGTGAAAATAAGTTTTAATTAATATTTATAAGAATAACATGATAAATCATCACATATATGATCTAATTTATAACCAAATGATTTAATTTCTTCTATATATGGTGAAGAATTTTTTAAATATATAAAATATGTTGTAGAATTTTTTTTTTTTGCAAGAATACTTAATTTTTTAATTAAAATACAAAAAGCTTGAGTATCTTTGGCATAAATATAGCAGTGGTTATCTTTTCGATTTTCTATTTTCATCAATCCATTTATTTCACTTTTTAATTTGTATAAAATAACATTATAAGAATCATAATCGCAGTTGCATAATTCATATGCAAACAATTTTGTTTTTATATGATCTTCACTTGTATAAAAGAAAGTATTATTATGTAATTCTTTGTAGTTTTTATTTAGAAATTTATGAATTAATTTAAAATCATATTCATGAATACATCTAGTAATAGAATCAATATTTTCCAAATAATTATTTTTTGACATATCATATTGCATAATTTTATCTTGTTCTTGTGATGAATTATTTAGCATTTTACTATTCATGTGTTTAATAGAATCATTAAAAAAGACAAAATCAATAGGATAAACTTTGCAAAATGTATCATAACTATTTTTTTTTAAATTACCGTTTATATTGTTTCTTAAAGTAAATCTTGCATCTAATGCAATAATATCATTGCCAGATATAAATAAAGGGTTGATATCACATTCATTTATGTAAGGTAATAAGTCTAAAATCAATTCAGAAAATTTTATAATAGTTGTAATAAGTTTTGGCATGTTGCATTTCTTAAATCTAGAAGATTTACCTAATAAAGCATTATAAATTTTTGTATTTTTAATAGTATGATGTGTATATGAGAAATTAAGAGGTGGTATTAATAATACACTATCTTTGAATATTTCTACATAAGAACCACCTGAGCCAAATAATAAAACTGGTCCAAAATTATTGTCAAAATAATAACCTAAAATTAATTCATTTCCATCATTTGTATTAACCATATTTTGTATAGTAACTCCTTTAAACTCTTTTTCAAGATTATACCTCTTTATGTTATCATATATTATTTTATATGATTTAATTAATTGTTCTTTACTGTTAATATTTAATATAACTCCTCCAATATCTTTTTTATGAGTTATGGTATCTGAATAAATCTTCATGGCGCATGGAAATGTGAAACTTGAATGATTCTCAATATCCTCAATATTTTGAAATACTTTCGTGTCAACAATGGGTATATCATAAATTTGCAATATCATTTTTGAATCATGCTCATTTAAGATATAATTTTTATTTTCTATAGATTTTTTTATTATATCTATTGCCTTTTGTTTTTTAAGATTTCCCTCCATAAAATCCCCATCATTTTCTTTAATATCTTCTTTACCTACAGAATTTGATTTATTTAAATAATATTGATATATTAAATTATTTATATAATAATTTTCTTCTGAATCAGATAAAAAGTCAGGAATTTCTTCATAAATTTCCTGAATGTGCACAATATTTTGATAAAGTTTTAATAAATTCTGAGTGGAATTTTCTGGATATACAAAAGTAGGGACATTATTTCTGTTTAATAAATCTGTTGACCTTTCTAAAGATGTACCTCCTAAATAATTACATAATATTATTCTCCCTTGATCTGTAATTTCCTTTTTAAGATTTACAATTTCTTTAGCTGTATTTACTGGATCAGTTACACTTTGCGGAGATAATAAGACTATAATATTTTTATATTGATTATCTTTTATTAAAGTTTGAATAGTTTTTTTGTATAGAGTTGGAGATGCATCCCCCAATATATCTATGGGATTAGATTTACTCCATGCTTCTGGCAAAAAGTTATTTAAGTTTTTTTTTAAACTTTCATTTAAATTAGTTAACATTCCATCATTTTTTATAATATTATCTACTAATAAGACAGCAGGTCCTCCTGCATTAGTTACCACACATATTTCATTTGTTTCAGGATATTTTGAAAAATTTAAAATTTTACACATATTAAATAATTCTTCAAAATCTTCAACAACTAAAACACCAATTTTTTTCATGCACGCATAAAATATATCATAATTTCCAACCATTGAACCTGTATGAGAAATAGCTGCTTCTGCTGCTTTTGCTGTTTTCCCACTTTTTAAAAGAATAATTGGTTTATACAAGCATACTTTTTTACAAGTAGCTACGAACTTATTCATATCTCCAATAGATTCAACATATAACAATATATATTTGGTATTTTTATCATAAAATAAATATTCTACTAATTCATAAAATTGAACATCACACATAGATCCAACAGATATGAAATGAGAAAAACCAATATTGTGTTGTAGAGATAAATCTAAAGCTGCTGTACATATCGCCCCACTCTGTGATAAAAGAGAAAAGTTTCCTTTTAAAATATTATCGCTTGCAAAAGAAGCATTCATATTATGATAGGAATTAATAACACCTAAACAGTTAGGTCCTATTATTCTTATGTTATCTGATTTTCCTATATTCATTATTTCTTTTTCTAATTTTAATCCTTCTTCACCTGTTTCTTTAAACCCTGCTGTTATTATAACTGCCCCTTTAACATTTTTACTTTTCAATTCTTTCATAATATTTATCACATAATTTCTTGGTACTGCTATTACTACTAAATCAATATTATCATCCTTTATATCTTTTAAACTTTTATAACTATCTCTATTATATATTTTACTTCCTTTAGAATTTATAAAGTATAATTTATAATTGTTTTCTCCTTTTAATAAATTATTTACAATTGAGTTCCCAACAGATCCTTTTCTTTCTGTTGCACCTATTACTCCTATGCTTTTGGGTTTAAAAATGTAATCTAAGCTATTTTTAAAATATGCATTCTGTTGTATATTTTTATTATATCCTATCCATATGCTGTAATAATTTTTGTTAATAAAAAACTTATTGGAAACCTTAATAATCATTCTTCTTTTTTTTTTTTTCACAAATAAAAATATCACATAAAAAGGATAATATATCAAATTTATTGTTGTAATTTCTCAAAAAACTAAAAAATGTATTTAAAATATATATATATATAATATATTAAATTAATGTATTCAAAAAACAATCAAACATGTGTGACAGAAATAATATACAAAACATTTATAGATTTAAAAGGTTAAAAATAATATAAATTTAATAAAAATCCCATATATTTTCTTTTTATTATATATATATGTATATATAAAACTTCTAATTTGCTTTTTTACACTATTTTTACATTTGATCTTTGCTTTATTTTTCTTAATTTTCTTTTATTATAATTATTAAAAGTATTTAATTATCTTTTATATTAAGTAGCATTTTTTAATTTTTACATAAAAAAACAATCTCTATATTTTTATTCTTATTTATTTTTTTTTTTTTTTACTTTTTTCAGTATACTCTTTAATTCTATTAAAATATAGAACCTACTTTTAATATTGTTTATATAAATTATATATTAAAAAAAATTTACAATAAAATTCAGTACATTATTATTTTCGGCTTAAAAATCCACATATATATGTATATATTATTACATATATATTTTTTTTTTTTTTTTTCAGGTATTCATGTAGATTCGAAAAATTGCAACAAAAATTAAAAAGAAGAAATTTTTGTGTTTATATTTTCTATAAAAGGGAATTTCATATTTACAAAGAATTTTTTATAATATTTATAAAGAAAAATAAAAAAAATGAAATAAAATAAAAAAAAAGAAAAATAACTGCAAATAGCATGCAAGTATGTGTGCTAGAATATTTTATTAAAAATGAAGAGAGTTTATATTTTATGAATGTAAAAACAAAATTTAATATTTTTTTATATGATAAAAAAAAAATTCTCAATAATATACTTTTTTAAAAATATTATTCTTAAAAATAAGACTATTATATCAAATAATATGCAGTAAACAAAAAATACTTTTAAAAAAAAAGTATACTTGTTTTATTTATATCCTATAAATATGTGACACACTCCTTCCCTTTTTGTTAGATGAGAATATAACTGCATAATTAAAAAGAAAAAATATATATAAGATGTCATTTTATAGAAACACAGAGGAAATTATCAAATAGAAGATAATTAGACATATATGTAAGAAAATTTTTATTCATGAAAAATCTTTTAATAATTTTAACAAAATATATATTATCTTGTTTTCTTCATTAAAAATTAAAAAAGAAAAATTTTCATAATCATACTTAATTCTTAATACATGCTGAAAAAGTTCTATTAATTTTATAAACTCCTTTGAAACTTTCCTTTAAAAGCACTTTTAAAACTTTAAGTTATCTTTTGTTTTATATTATGTTCATATAATGTGTTTTTTTTTTTTTTTTTTTTTTAATGTTAAAATCCATTTATGATAATGATATTATTTTTATAGAAAAAATGAGAAGAAATTTTTCTAAAAATTATTAAATATGATTATTTTAAGAAAAAATTTAACTTTTTTATTAACGTGGAAAAATACGTCTATTCTGTGTATTGAAATATAAACAAACATACGTTAAATTTCTAATCATTTCCTTTTGAAAATTCAAAATTTTTAAAATCCCATTGGATAAACTATGTATAATAATTTAAAATTATTATAAGGAATAAGTTTTTGTAACATTTTTTACATTAAAATACTATCTATAAAATTTTGTTCTATAATTTTATTTTAATTTATTTCTTATTATTTATTTCATATCTTATTTTATTCTTTATATTATTTTAATTTATTTCTTATTATTTATTTCATATCTTATTTTATTCTTTATATAATTTTTATTTATTTCTTTATAATATTTTATAATGACCTTTTTCAATATTATTATTATTCCATTATATAAAATTATCATTAACACAAAAAATATATATATTCTTATATAGAAACTAAATAACAATTTTATGTCTAAAATTTTTTTACATTTAATTAATAAATATTTATAATTAACATATAGAATACAAAAATTTATTTCAGCTTTTTAAGAGTTCATTGTAGAATGAAAATTATATTTTTTTTTTTATATCATTTTAACATAAAATTATAATCATTTATTTATTTTATGAAATTTGATTAAGTAACAAATATAACATTCTATTAAATTTTTTACAATAATAAAAAAAGTATTATTTTACATTATTTTTCAAGTTTTTCTTTATATTTTTGAAAAGTGTATTTCCCAATTAAATGAAATTTATAAAATATTTAAAAAATTAAAAGTTACTAAAAATTGAAAGATAACATGAATGATAATAAAATAAAATTGATAAATTACAGAAAAAAAAAGTTAATTGGGTGAATCTTATAAATATTTTCTTTTTTAAAACATTAGTTCTCAAAAGTTGTAAAATTATTTTGAAATTATCATGATTTATTTTGTAAAAATTTTTTTTTTTAATTGAATAAGAATATTAAAAAAAGGAGTTTAAACAATTCATTTCGTTCACTAATTCATTTTTGTTTTCACACAAATCTTTTTAAAGACAACATTTACTAAGAAAAATGAAAGTTTTCTTCCTATTTTTTTTTTTTTTCCTTTTATATAATTATGTGTAAAAATATTACTATTTTTAATTTTTTTTTTGAACTAAGTAAATATGCGAGAAAAATATGGTGTAACATTTTTTCCAAAAAGATGTAACAAACACACATATTCTGAATTTTATTTTGGAAAATTAGGAATAAAAAAACATAATAATTGAATATAACCTTTTTATTTGTAAGAAACTACATATCAACATTCATGTAATTAAAAAAAAAGATATGTATATCTAAATATTTATAATATGATATTATAAAAACGGAACTATTAAAATTTTATAGGTGTAATTTTTTAATGCACATAGTCTTTAACTTTAGATAATAAAAAAGAAAAAAAAAAAAACTACTTCAACGATGAATGATATAATTTTGTAATTTATTTTTATAATGCATTAATAATATTGATAAAAACAAAAAGGAAAAGACGGAAAATTTAAAAATATGATATAGAAATAAACAAAAAAAAATTTTCCTAAAATGATATATTTTATTTATTTTTTTTTTATATCATAATTTAAATAAATAATAAAATAATTAAAAAAATCGTAAATGTATATATTTATTTTTTTATTTATTCATATGTTTACATATGTATATTAAGTTACAATCAAAATGTGCAAACTCATAGTTAAAAGAAGTATATAAACATAAAAAATAGTTCGACTCATTTCTTAACAGCAGTTAAAATAGAAGATAATAATTTAATTAATAAAAAAATAATGGAAAATGTAGAAGAAAAAAATAAAAAGATGTTAAATTCAAAAAAGGATATATATGAAATAGATGTGTCTTCAAATAATAAAAGTTTAAATGAAAATTTATATGAACACAAGGATAATAGTGTAAAAAAATTTTATCCAAATTGTATTCAATTAAATGAGAATTATAAAAAATGTGAAAATGAAATATATAATGAAGCAGAGATGGAAAAAGTAGATGAAAAAAAAGATAAACAAAAATGTTTAGAATAAAAACATCTTCATTAGAAAAAAAAAAAAAAAATCAATAAGAAAGTAAAATAATTAGTAGACGAAAATGTGTTTCATAATTACACTACATTGAATTATAAAAATGAAGAAAAGGAAAAAATTAGTAGTGAAAGAAATAATAAAGATGATAAATTAGAGAATAAAAAGAAAAACAATGAAACTAAAGAAACTCTTGAAGAGTTACTAGTTCATAGAAAAATATATATAAAAAAAATAATGGATAAAAGAAGAGGACGATAAAGCGAAACTTGCAAAAATATTAAAATAAATAGCGAAATTATTAAAGAACAACCAGAAATATTAAAGGGAGAACTAAAATCATATCAATTGGAAGAGTTTCAATTTTTAATTAATTTATACAACAATAGATTAAATGGTATTTTAGCTTATGAAATGGGATTAGGAAAAATTTTTCAAACAATAATTTTATTAGCTAATTTAAAAGAAAGTAATTTACCTATTCTGTTAATCTTTAAAACATAACTTTTTTTCATAGCTGAGAATACTTTATCTATAGTAACAAATTACAGTTCTCACTATTTTATTTTGGTAGCATTTTTTAATAAAAAAACTTTTAAAAAATATAATATTTTATTAAATATTTTATCAAAAAGAAAGAAATAATTATAATACATATTAAATATAGACTAGTAAAAGGAAAAGTATTTTACTAAAAAGAAATGAAGAAGAATATAAAAACAATTGTAAATATTATGATATGTTATATTTCTGTAATTTTTTAGTTTAAAAAAAAAAAAAAAAAATATAATAATGAAAATGAGGATTGAAAAAAAACTTTTTTTTAGAAATATTTTATTTGTTATTTTTCTTTACTATTTAAAACTTTATAAATAAAAAAAACAACTTTAAGAATTTTTTTCAAAAAATCCTTAACTTTAATGTATTATTAATTCATATTTAAATGCTAATTTACATTAATTTAAAACTATATTTAAAAAAAGACACGATTTATTTATAGGCACAAACAAAAAAAAAAAAAAAATAATATATTATTTTTAAATATAAAAATTTGCTTTATATATTTTAATTTGTAATTTTTTTTTTTTTTTTTTTTTTTTATTATTTGTAAAAAACTGTATATGATAAATTTATTATATATCTTGAAATATATACGATATATTTGTTAATTATTTATTTAAACTTATAAACAATAAATCTGAAAATGAGAAAATTTTTACATTTTACACATTAATATTTTTTTTTTTTAAATTCTTAAATTCAGATCAAACAATTAAATAATTATGCATATATATATATATATATATATATTCTTTTTATTCTTTAATTTTTAATTATTTTCCTTTTTACTTAAAATATAAGAACTTTTGTCTATGATTATATTTAAAGAATTAAAAAAATGTGTCAAATACTTTTTTTAATTCATTAAAACTTAATGATTCTTCTCTCTTTCAACAACTTCTGGATAAAATTTAATAAAAATAGTTGTGTTATAATTTTGATCACTTTCATAAATTGTGTGTGCAGTGACTTCTGCTTGGAATTCTGAACTACACAGCAAACCTTCAACTATTCCAGCTGCAAAAGAAGCACAATTTATATTTCCATAATCTTTAGGTATACTTATAAATTTATTTAATAAAATATTTTTGTCACATATCATATATTCATATATACTATCTTGTGATTTAAGTAAATCAGAAGAATGCTGAAATAAATATTTCCATACATATTTAGATATAAAAGTTAACATGTTAACTATATTTATACTCCTTTTCATTTTATTTTTGTAAGTTAAATATTCGTTTAATTTATATCCTACTCGTAGACCCATTTCATGTAAGCAATCTTCTATTCGATACCCTCTTTTACTTTTATATAAGCAGTATTGAACCACCTCACTAAATAGAAAACTAAAAGCACTTAAACTAACATCCTGTTTTCCTTTATTTAATTCTTTTTCAATTGAACTTTTGTTTTTATCCATATTTTTTTTTTCATATATATAAATAAATATATATTTATTTTTTATTATTTAAATTCATATGTTTTCTTTTATTAATTTAATTATTCTTATAATTTTATTTATATATATATACTTACAATATACCTCATAATTATAATTGATATGCTTTAGAAAATGATACTCAATACGTAATAAGTAAATATTATATATAATTTAACATTCATTTATATATAATATTTATGCCTCTTTTTTTTTTTTTTTTTTTTTTCATTTATTTTAAA